CTAATTGGAAATCAGACTCATAAACATTTTCATAAACTCCCCAATCTAAATAGCATGCCATTTAACGTGACTATCCATCAAAAGATTTTTATTTAAAAGGTCCACATGATAAATATGATTGTTCCCTTAATATTATTAGAGTCTTAGCTCACGATTTTTTAAAATTACATGACTTAAATTAGGTTTCTACTTTTGGTTCAAAAAATGAGATAAAATTTTATATAATAAACAGGAAACTTTTTTTTTTTAATAAAGTCAACCAGCAGAAAGTTAGTGTAGTCTGACTGTATGCACTTGAAATGTATTATCAGGAGGTAGTCAGTTTCTGATCTTTCTGGAATGCACATACCAAATGTCTGCTTCTTTCATGAGCCTGACACATATGGGAGAAAAAACCCTCTGACCCTCCTTTAACAACTAGACACACAGGAGGAAGAAAGATTAGAGACCTGGATCCCCCTCAGCTCCCACTGAGATAGAATTTTCACTGACACAATTGGGCAGTAACAATTAGAAAACAGGCTGAGCTGCCCTGATCTCAGAGCTCCAATCTCTTAAAATAGGAAATGTTAATTTTTTTCCCCTAACATCTAAAGATATAGGCTAGGAAGATATTCATTTTTAATCACATTAATTTTAACTCCTCGTTAGTAATCCACAAAAAAAGCAGCATGAGATAGGTTTGGATGGTAATGCTAAGGTCCATAAAAATAGAATAGCCAGCTCTTTCATTAAAAAAGTAAAGACTACTGAACCTTGTAGCCTAATAAAAATCTGAGATGGGCTGTATATGCTCGATTGCTAAAGTGTGATATGAATAGTCTTGTGGCTACAAGTGAGGTTCTGTACTTTCCAAGGCCACAGAGCCACTTCTGAGGCCTATATTTTCCAAGGTCACAGTTCTTCATCAATATACTCAATTCAAAAAGTAGTTTCAAATAGGCAAAACTGAGGATAATGGTTGTTGATTTTTTCTTCTCCAAAACAAGTTAACCAATAAGCAGGTTTCAAGTGAAAGCCACTAAATTTTCAGGTATTAAGTATCATCCAATTCAATTCAGCAAGCATTTATTTGGTTTATACTTTACATGTTTCAATCAAATCATTTAATAAATACTGTACATTTGTTACTGAATGATTTTGAAAATAAAGTCCTCCTCAGACATAATAAGTCCAGATTATTTTCAAGAATAACAACTACATATTAGTACACTGATGATTATAATCTGCATTATCCATAATTTTCATGATAATATAATTTATAATTTTAGTTTTCACATTTTTAAACTATTAATTATCAGAGGAAAATGTATATCTTTATGAATGTGGATAAAATCATCTGCAAAAATTGTTCTTTGACTTTTTGAAAACCTTCATCATTGGCTTGTGAACTGTTTGATTTCAGACTTCACAGTTTCCTCTCACTTGTCTATGCCTGAAAAAATGATAGACCATACAGCTTTAAGATTTGAATTATAGTTGATCAGAAACTAATAAATTTCCCTAAAGAATCTGTGTCTGCTCAATTTTGCTGAGTTTCGCACCATAATATATGAAGAATATTGGAGACATGGTGTTGCCTTTTCTTGGCTGTTTTTATTTCACTTTTCAAAGTGGTATTGGGTCTAGTTTGGTCCATGAATATCTTTCAGCCACTATTACTCTCTATTCCTATATTGATTATAAAAACAACAATTAGAAAATTAATTATTGTCAACATTTATTGAGTTCATGTTATGCCATGCATACATTGCCTACATTAATCTAATTTAATGGTCACCACTGATTTATGAGGCAGACAGTTATTAACTTTATATCACATAGGAATAAATATAAGCAAAGAAACACAGTTTCTCCAAAGGGCATCTACTTATAAGTAAATTAATTTCATTTCAAACCCACTGGATTCTAAATTCCACACACTTATATGCTATGAAATTCCACAAATGGCCACATATTTAGCTAAATGAAAAAAATGTTCCGTGTGACCAGTTCTCTAAATAAGAATCCCAAATGATTATCCAGTCCACCTTGTGATTTACTTGTGAAAAAAAGTAACACTATTTTGCAAGCCAGTGTGCTACAATGAATATATATATATATATATACACAAATGTGATTATATGTTGTGTGTGTATATATATACACACACACACATATGTCTATATATCTAGTCTCTATCTATATCTATACTTTCATTTTGTTTCCTGGTTCTCTGACCTTCCACTGTTGGAGTAGTAGCAGGAAACTTAAATAGCAGTACTATTTTCTGTGTGAGGCACTTTGTAATAAACATTAATCGTGAAATTACAACAGTTGCAAGACTCCTCTGCCTGTTGCTTCTTCTAAGCAGAGAATTACCATTAGATGAAAGAGCCTACAGCAATAAACATCAGGGGCTAGTGTTTGCTTCTCCTCTGAACTCAACCAGGCTGATCCAAGTCCAGAAATGTCTTTGAAGTCACGGAGACCTTCATGTACTGATCAATCCTTGGGGGGTAAAGAGCAAGAAAAACTGGTTCTCTTACTTTAATATTCTGCCAGGGAGTGCGTTCAACTCAATTCACAACAAAAAGGTTTTCTCTGTTACAAACTGAGTGATTTTGTACTTGGGTACTGCTTGCTTCAATTAACTTACAGGACCTATTGATCCCAGAATGTGATTATTTTCACTGTGGTCTGTATTTCCATTAGGTTAAACTATAAGCACAGTAGCAGCAACCTTGAATTCATATTTTCCCTGTTCTCAAGGTATGTATTTTGTTTTGGGTTCATTTAAGTGAAAAACAGTATATGATTTTCTTAATAGCAATAGTCAATTTTGATTATAAATGTGATCAGTATTATCAGTTCACAATATTTCTAAGTTAATAAAAATTTTAAAACTTAAGAATTAAAATTATCTGAAAATTGAATGTGTAGTCCAAAAACTCACTAGAGTCCTGAGTACCTGAGAATTCAAACAATTGATCCTTCTGGTGTGGCAATTTTGCAGCAGAGCAAAATTTGACATCAAGACTTGTAATTCATTCAGGCATTATTCCTACACTCTCTCACAAATATCTTTATCATACCTTTTCTTTTTAGCTTTAGAGTCTAACTTTTGTTCTCTAATTGTAAAGATATGGAGAATTATTTTTAAACCAGCAATGTGAACATATTTTATATCCCATTATGTTTTAAGAGATTATAAAATAGAAAATACAGGCATCTTATAAAGTAGTTTTCTTTTATTATTTTGGTCACAGAAAAATATTCAGTACAATATAATTATATAGTTTGTAGACATACAATTTATTATAAGAACATAAATAAAGACAAAAATCCCTGTAATATTATAGATAGGATACCAACTGCAGTTGATTGTCACATAGGAAGAAGAGGTAAAAATTTCAACTATAAAGTTAATCAGCAAGATAAAGACAAATGAATACAAAATACCAGAGAATAATAGTTTCAAAATTATTATGGCACATGGTGATTACAAAAAAATATGTCAATCTTCTGCAAAAATTCACTAACTTATCTGTTAACATCTGATTTTTTTGTTATATAATTTAGGTTGAAGAAAACTGGGGGGAACTACATGTAACTTATTGGGAGGATCAAAAAGTTCTGGTTAGAATATAAATTTTCCCTGCTCTCTTTGACAACAATGTCTACAATTCATTCACATCCTGTCGCAGAGTGAGGCAGCCTGAAGGGTTATAATATGACTTTTCAACTATCTGAAGACTGATTTCACATGAGCTGACTCTTATTATTTTGAGACATTGGTACCATCTTAATTTAAAAGGCTCAATTGCATTAAATATTATATTTAATTGGGGAACATTTGCAGTAGTCATTCTATTTTAGAATTGCTTCCTTTGTGGATAATAATCTCTAGTAATAACAGAGATGAAATGGCTTAAGACAGTTTACTCCACCTCTTTACATTCTAGGCAAGAAACCAAAGTGCAAATGCTAATCATTAAATTTTACCTCCTTCCACTTACACAAGCACACATCCACATATGCTCACACTCGTACAAAAATTAGACTTTATGTTTATACAGTATCATCAATTGAGCAAATAACTATAATTCAAAGAGGTACTTCCTGCATGCAATTCATCCTTAATAAAATAAAAAGGCCCTCCTCTACATACATGAATGCATACGACCACAAATATAAAAGGCCAGCTTCCTATTGATATAATGGTCATACATTCCTTAAACATTTCCATGGTTAATCCTAAATTCAATCAGAAACTGTGTAGAATGTCTGTGAGATATATTGTGTCTTATCTTATACTTTTACACCATAATAAATTATGTTTCAACAAGTATCACAATGGCCTAAATTTTATTTCCTCTCTTGTCCTCTAGTTTTCTTACTCTCCCTGATTGGCAGTAGTATTTCTTCTTAGTGCCTCGTTAAATAGCATGGAGCTGTCCAATTTTCTCGGAATTCAGTCCTGAGGTATACATTTCCATTTTCTTTGTTGATCTAGCACAGGTTCAGGTGATTTCTACATAATACATCCATTAGTTCAAGCAAGGCAAATGAAATCACATCTATACTAATCTCCACGTTATTAACTATAAACAGGAACGGGGTGCATATCTCCACTCTTTGTTTGAGTCCATTCAAGTGCAAACTGAAGTAAAAGGATTTCCTGTTCTTCTTTTCATACTCCTGAGTGTGGTGATACCTGATTCTGTCTCTCCACAGTAATTGATAAGATTGCAAAACCTCTCTCACATCCCTCCTTTAATACAAACTGAGAACTTGATTTCTTTTTTCACTTGTTGGCAAGTATAGTTTGATTCCTTTTTTTGTAGAGATCTTATTTTAAAGCCATTTTTGTTTTCTTCAAAATCAGGGCTTTGTTTTAATCATCTAGTAATCCTGCCCCTTGGGAATCGATTTCTTTGTATACAAGACAAGATCCAGGTCTATTAGAATCCAACATATTGAGTTGGAACTTGGCATATATTTCACTTACGAGCACATACATTCATTTTACACGATTCCTCAATGTGGCCAGGGGGGTTCGTGGTCTGCACTGTATCCACCTATAAAAAATACAAAAATATATGTCTGCTTTACAGGGATGTGAGTAGGGTTTTGCCAGCCTACTTCCAAAGCTTGAACTGCACATCTTGGCTGATGGCAAGTATTCTTTCCTTCTTTAAGATGCATTTGCAATGGCCATGACCCTTTTTCAGAAGTCACAGAGACATAACTGTTCTCACTACAATTAACAACTCTAGGGCACCTAAATCAATACAGCTGGCTAATCTCAAGGATGCGATCCCTGAAAGGAAATGTCTGCATGATATAAAAAAAAATTATGTTAATTGTGTTTTAGGGTTCAAGCTTGTCTAGGCTATGGGAGGAGAAGTTGGGAAAGTGTGGGTTTTGTTTGTACTATAAACAAATAATAACAAAATGGTAATTTTATGATCAATGTTTTTACAACTTGCACATCCCTAAAATTTTAGTGATATGAGCATAATTTGAATATTCACACTCATCAAAGTAGTTTTCTCCTTTTTAGATGAAATCCATAGATCTCTTCATATACTCTGGGCAATTTACATGCTATCTACAAATGGCCTACTGATATCTGGTCAAGGAAGAATTACTCTTTTCCTAAAAAAAGAAAAAAGAAAAAAAATATTGGGGATGTGGTTCAGTGATTAAGCTCCCCTGGGTTCAATCATCAGCACCAAAAATTTTAAAAAGACGGTAAAAGAGCAGTGTTTTCCAATGTTTTATCTTGTTTGCACAAATAAAATTCTTTAAGATAGTTTGGTGCTAAAGCCTCCTTTAAATAGTGTTTAAATAATGCTCTGAACTTCTGTTTTCAATGCCAAAAAGAAAACAAAGCATCATTTTTTAATTGAATAGTAAAATCTATGTTACTAAAATCTTCAGTAACATTGAATATTGCCATATAGATGGTTAATAATTTCCAGAGATTACACTTTGTACAGTTCACTACCCAAAATATTTATCTTTAATAATTAGGATCAGAAAAGAGAAATTATCTGCCCAAATTCTATGGTAATAATGGATTAGCACACAAGTCAAACTTAGTAAAGAAGTGGATAGTTTCTTTCCCTGGATGTTTGATCAACTTTTTTTTAGAGTAAATGGTATTTAATAAAATGTAACACCTAACTTAAAAATTAGTTATTTATGTTTAAGAGCACAGAATACTTTGAAAAAATGTTCTCACAGCTGATTATCTATATTAGCTGTGTAAGTTTAAGCCACTTTAAAATATGTCATATTTTAATTAAATTTTATCTATTCCAAAAAAATAAGATTTTATTCTCTAGTAGCCTAAAAGTTAACATAATTTGTGACAACATTCTAATGAGTTACATAAGCAAAGCACAAATCTCCATGATTTAAATTAAAAGTTTAAGATGAACACAGGTTCTATTATTGTATATAAAGCATATCATGTACCTTTAATTTCAAAACTCCTCAGTACTGAAATTAAATATTTGAAAGTTTCTGATTTTGTGTTTTCTTTATGAACCATAAGGCATGCCCAGACAACACTAGACCTCCTTTCCTATTATGTATTCTTACTCTATGTGACATATTTCCACAGCACTTACCAAATAATTAACTGTCTTAAGAAGTTAGTTGTTCATGTAATTTCTATGCAAGGCTACAATGTGCTCCCTGAAGGCACACATCATGTAGACTCTGTTTACTGATTCATTCTTAATATCAGCACATGCTTAGTCAGTAATAAAAATTGGATTAATGAATAAATGCATATCTAGGAACAGCTAATTAAGTAAATAACATTACTTGTTATATCACAGTATCACATATATAATTCTAAAATTTTGAAATCTTTCAAATCTTTCAAACTGCAGAAAATGCTCTTTATTTTACTGCATATTATTTTTCTCTTATTTGTTAACTCTTTCTTAAATTGAATCTGACAAACTAAAAGTTACACTAAGTGCTTTTTTATCTTTTCTATAGTTATTTTTCTTTCCTTAAATAGACAATGTAAATTTTTCTGCAAAATGTTTAATAAATGAACAAATGAGCAAAACGATTTTTATAAAAATAAGAAATCAAAGGTCTCACAACACTTCATAATTTATTTCCAAAACTTGACTTGTAATTCAGATTAATAGAAATATAATATATTTAAATAATATATTCATCATTCTTCCATGGACCATAGTGAAATTCTCTAAGATGTTATTCAGAAACAACTCTCATTTCATAAGTTAACAACTTCATATGTTAACTTTTGAAAAGCAGGCTTCTTCTGTTTTTGTGGCTTTAGGCCTTGATGCACTGAAAAAAAAAAATGCAACTGTGTACTAATATTCACCTGTCACTGAGAAAAATGGAGCCTTTTCTCACCATTAAAGATTAATGTTCAGAAACAAAAGTGCATATTTCAAATCACTTATAGAGTTCACAGACAACTATATAAGAATCATAGTTCTGAAAACTGTTGTTCGGAGAGTCACTGTAGAAATGGATGTTACCAGGATGTGTTTGTTTTGATTTGAATCAGCTAATTAAAATGGCCCTGGAAGCAATTTTCAGATCACTGCTGCTAAGGAGATAGGCTCCAGTAAATCAGACCTGACCAATCTTTCAGTCAGGTCCAATTCAGTTCAAGTCGCTATAGACACAGCCTTTGTCTTTGCCTTTCAACCTTCCTTCTCAATTTGTTCTATCACCACGGCAACAAGTCTCACACACACACACACACACACAGACACACACACACACACACACACATACACACACACAGTCTCTCTCTCTCAAAGGCACACGCGGAGATCAACAATTCTCATACACACACAAACATACAAGGTCAGTAGATCACACACATACATACACAGAGATAAATCTCTAGATTTCACTCAGTGACCAGTTTTTAACCCAGAGACTAAATTAAGCCAGGAATTTATTTTTTTAAAAAAAATTGTCAATAGAATATTCAATTATAAAAGCCATAGTCTTCCCCTTTTCTAGTCTTCCCTGACCAACAGTAGGTGAGAAGTACCAGGAGAAGATAGTTGAGTTTTGCAAACAATGGCAACAGTATTTAGGGAACTAAGTATGAGAATATCTGGAACACTCACACATCGGAATAGACCTGCTCTCTATCTATGATTCTGAAAAACTTCAAAACCATAAACAAGATAATATACATATTTGAAAGGACATATATCTATTTTTATACTGTTTCAGGTAAGTTTTAATGCTAAATCACATTCACCTAATGTGATTAAGCATTAAAACTGGTGTAGATTAAGCAGAAATATGTGTTGGATGTGTTTGCATATAATTGGCAATATGTAAAGAGATTCTATGAATATTCATTCATTTTTCCTCAAATGGTGTTGAAATCTAGAAAAAACTAAAAGGTACCTTATTAAAAAAAAAAAAAACGCACAGTTCATTTCACAACATAGAGAACCAAAGTAATGCCAGTTTCCACTATCTAGAAACAGGATATTGATATTTATTTTAGAGCATAAAGCCTATCATAGAAACTGAACCAGGCACAGCACTTCATCATTGAAAGCTGTTACTTCATTTTAAATACTAAAAAATCATTTAAAACAGAAAATGACATATGGTAAACACAGACTTTAGGCAAGGGGAGGACTACAAGAGAGAAAATTGTAGATGGTATATTGGTCTTTTACTTTCTTCTGATTTATATGAATAATGTATTAAAAACCATAAATTAAGATTTGTTAATGACTACAACACCTGCATAGATACTATGGGGCTTAGGATATACTACACCAGAACATGGCACCTTGACCTTTAGGAAACAGGCTGACTACTCTCACCTACATCTTCCTCTGGACCTTCTCCTTGAAGAAGGTCATAAGAACCCTCATGTGAGAGATATGTATAGTTGAGATGTGTATATTCCTGGAGGGAAAGAACATCCTTATCTCTGAAAACACAGGGGCAAAGAAGAATCTGAACAAACAGGTCTTGCTCAGTTCCTGCAGTTTATACCCATTAGATCCACCTCCTATGCCAATCACACTTCTGCACCACCATCCACCTCTTCATCTAACCTGCACATGAAACTATTCAAGTCTGCCAATTTTTCTTTGGGTCTATTTCCTTAGGCTCTGGTGTCATATAAAACTTACATTGAATAAATTTATGTTTTTATCTTCTTATCATATTTTTATTGTAAGGGCCTCAGCCATGAACCCAGTGATGGGTGAGGAAAAGAAATCTTTCTTCCCCTACAGTGTATTACAAGATCATACTTAACTCTCTAATTTAACCTCACAAAGTCCTTGTGAAGTGGGAATCATAATTTTGCTCATTTTACATTTGAGGGAATTGAAGCTCAAAGAGCTTAATCTTCTTATATAAAATCATACAGATAAGTGGTAAAATCAGGGCCCCAAACCAAGACTTTTGGCTCCTAATCAAATATTTTTTAGACTACAGTATGTTTACTCATAAATTATTTTTTTAAACTGACTTTAAATCTTTGAAAAATAGACAGCTAGGTCATAATTATAAATGTTTCTATTTTTAACATGGTTTAGTAAATGAAAACAAAACCTAAACAAGTTTTCTAAATTATTATAAATGAATGTACTAAGCTCACTTCTGGAAGCCTGTATTTTTCTTACTGTATCACAATTATTTAAATTCATACATACATACATTCTATCATCATTATTTATACTGATGCAAATATAAGAAATAACTTAGACATAATTGAACATTATCTGAATTGCTAAAAAGGAAAATAATAAATAAAACCAATTCTATTCAATCAAAGAAAGAGAAATGTGTACCCACTTACATGTGTGAGAGTACACACACACAAACACACACACAAACACACACACACACACACACAGAGGCTATTCATTAACACTGTTTCAATGACATTCTTAAGGAATAGAAATCGTTTACATTGGTAATCAACCACTGAATGCCCAGGAAAGGAAAGGGGATAAATAATATCATACCAATTCCTTATCATATGTTCTTTGCCCTGACTTCAGATTATGAATGATTTGGAGCC